AGTCGACTTCTTGCTCGATATGCTGCTTAGCGATGGCACGCAAAGCTTGAATCTCATCTAAAAGTCCGCGCTTAATTAGTTTCATGCACACACCTTTATCATTTGTGTGATGCGCTGATCTAGTCTTCTGCACAGCGTTTCTCTCTCGCTCCATACCCAGAGTACCAACCGACGCTTAGCAAACGAGGGGATTTCAGGTTGCGATGCGGATGCATCTTGCTGATGAACCCAATCCGATTGCCTCGTTCCGGTGTGTTTCAAGATGCGAAGCGAGCGCAGGACCTTGCGCCGGTCTCGATAATGCCAGCGGGCTGCACTTGCTTCATCGAGGGCATGCAGTAAATCCCATAGGGATTCGGAAGTGATGTGATCAATGTCTATGTCATGATCCTGGTGGATTGCATCCCAAATGGTGCGTTGCTCTGGCGACAATTTCTCTTGAAAGGTGTTGTGTCTGCATGTCGAATCCAATCCATTTTCATACGAGCTCGAGACTAGGCGGCCCGGAAAAAGGAGATGCTGGAGATAATAAGTAGTTCCTCCAACGAGGATCGGAAGTGTGTTTCGCTGGTGCATTGACTCACACAAGTGTCTCGCGTCTGTGACGAATTGCGTTATATCGTATTCCTGCTGAGGTGTTAGAAAACTGAGCAAATGATGAGGAACCCCCCGCATATCCTCGACGGGTGCTTTATTTGTGATGACATCCAAACCTTGATAGGTCTGCATGCTATCTGCGGAAATGATTTCTGCGTGATACAATTGCGCAAGATCTACACCTAGCTGGGATTTCCCGGTCCCGGTGCTTCCAATAACGGCTACTACACTGGAATCGCAGCTTAGATCCTAATGGGTCAGAATTGAGAACTAAGGCACTACAGCTCAAGGTCCTGAAGTCGCACTGTGTGTTGGTATCTGTCCATACGACCAGAGTCCCTGCGCCGTACAGCGCCATGGAAATACGCACCTTGCGAATCATTGCAGCGGCAATAGGATGGTCTGTTGGGTTAGTGATGATAAGCTTTACATACAGAAACTTTGGTTCTCCTTGAAAGATTTTCGAGCCAGCTCTGGGTCAGCTTTGTAGAGTGCTTTAAAGACCGCACGGCAATATTTCATACGCCCTTTGTCCTTGACCTATGTCAGTGATTACACGCACCCAATCTGCTGCTTTCTGTTCATAGCCACTGTTTTTCACGGCCAAAGCTAATTCAAAGAAACGTACTGGGATTTCATCGTTGGCGTTGTTGGCCAAGTCATAAGCCTCGTCCAGCCACTGAACAGCATACTTCGGCAACGGTTCGCTGTTAGATTGAAGCTGCTCAAGGAAGACGACTTTCTGATTGGCATTCCAATCTCGCATATCGTCTTGCGAGAACGCTCGTTTGACATCAGCACGCGATGGTGCTTGTTGTACGGCTTGGTTCCATTCTTCAGCAAGTTTGTACGCATCTTGTGCAAGGCTCGAGTCGTATTCCATTATGACAGGAAGTTTCATACCTTCGCCATGCAGCCAAGCGTCCCAGTCGACTTGGTTCAAACGATCAATAACCGGTTGGTTATCGGCATAGAATGCGTACAGATGCGATTTCCAGTCTTCTGTGCTTACTGCTCGGTCGTAGAATGCTCGGAAGTAGGCTTTAATGTAGGGCTCAAACACATCCAATCCACCTACAGTACGTTCCAAGTACAGAAGGAAGTTGGATCCCTTTTCGTAGGGGATGCTACTGAATGCATCATCAGGGTCCTCGCCCGATTCATACTCTGGAATCAGCCGCTGGAATCGCGACTTCTTTTCAAAGCCTTGCAAGGCACTTCGTAAGCTCCGTGCGCCTATAATGTAAGAGAAGCCACGGTGTGCGGGACCTTCTTGTTCGCCATACAATTTCTGGAGCAGCAAACGTTCAAGATATACGGTCCAGCCCTCATTGAGCCAGAACGAGTCCCAGTTCACACAAGAAGTCAAGTTACCGCTCCAAGAATGGCACAGCTCGTGCAGCAGCACATCTGTAGCACTGCGGTCGCCGCATACAAGACTTGGTGTGAGCGTTGTTAAATTGGCATTTTCCATGCCACCGTATGGAAACGAGGGCGGGAGTACCACTGAGTCGTATCGCGTCCATGAGTACGGCGAGACAAGCGCCTCTGCTTCTTTCAGGAAGCGCTCAGCATCTTGCTCGAATTCCCATTGAACGGCATTGGCGTCGGGAGGCTCGGCCCATACGCCGGTGCGTGGACCTAACGAGCGGAACTCCAAATCGCCTCCAACAATCGCTAGTAGATAGGACGGAATGGAGACTGGCTGCTTGAAGAAGTACTGTTTTGTTCCATTGCCAAGATCTTTTGGCTGACCATCTTGCAGAGCGGACATCAGCACAGGAATCGACGAGGTGACTTGAGCCGTATAGGTGATTTTGCGGCCCGGGGCGTCGAAGCATGGCAGAAGCGAACGGGCATGAATCGCTTGACATTGCGAATACAAGAACGGATTGGTTTTAGCATGCGTCTGTTCGCGAGCGAGCCAGCCAAGGGCTGTGCACTGATCTGTAGTAGAATAGCTGATTTGAATTTCGACTTCGGCGTCCTTTTCACGCTTACCCAGCTCTATTACCAAAGGTTGGCCTAGAGCATCACAGCGCTCTTTTAGCTCAAATTTCGTAGGTTGGCCGTCCACTTTTACTTTATCGATAGCGAGATAAGACGTATCGAAAATCGCTTGAGTGGTATTCTGCTTCAACACGCGGAATGTGTGCGTCACTGATCCGTGAATCCGGCGGTTTTCCCAATCGATGAACCAGTCCAGATGCAGACGTTTCGGGAGCAGCTCATTTAGATTCGACAAAGAATGTCGGTCATGGATCGGACCCTGCGGAGGTGCAGGAACTGCATCAGGTGCCGGGGGCGCCCATGATTTTTCGCTCATTCCTCTGATAGGCACAGGAGCAGGAGTCAATCGCGATGCACGCGTGCAGATACAGCTCAGAGACGAAAACGTACGGGTGAGCCGTCGTAGCATCCACTCAGAAGGTGTATCACGTGCAAACGCCGCCAGTATATGGTGGCCGTGCGCTGATCCCCTGCGGATACGCCGCAAATCTTCAGATTCGGAAACGAGCCGCTGGCCTGCATCATAATACAGCGGAATAGAAGATATAGAAATGTAGCCTAGGCCAAATTCTCTAAAGTTTACTCAATAGCGGATTTTACAACAATACGAAATGACCTCAAATGCACAATGTGTTTGGTAGGCAGTCGTTTAACTGTAGGGTTGCAGCTACAATGGGACTACGTTCGAGGCATGCTCGACTAAAATTCTCAGAAATAATCCGAATAGATTTGGTACAGATTTGGTAAGTGACTGGCTTACGAAGTCTCGTAGCACAGCTTACAGCCAGCTCTTCTCCGCTGATCCAAAGTAGTCTCCTACTGTTGGGGGCAACACGTATCTTCCAGACCCAAGTTGAATATTGGGCTAAGGAAGTATCGCGCACCACACGCGAATGGACAGCGAGCGCCAAGTGTATTTCCCAGCCAGCGAATACCAATACAGAGAGAGAACTGCGTCATCTAATGAAAAGTCATCGTCCAAAGTCTCAGTTCACCTTTCCTCAACAGGACAGGAGTGTTCTGCAGTACGATCAGGTCCCAGTATTTGCAGCAAAGAATCCAGCGAATAGTCAAACCAAGTTGACAAAAGGCTTAACTTCGCCGAGACAAGACTTTCGCTCTGAGCGTAGTCCAATCGACTCTTCGTTAAGTCTCGGCCCAGATGCATTGAACTTTGGCGAGCTAGATTTGCTTCTTGAGGGAGCAGCCCAAACTCGCGAATCAGCTTCAGTCTCGTTCGAAATCAGCAAAGACTCCAACTTTACACGTGCTTGGAGCGTACGTCCCAGCGAGGAGCCACTCTCGGGCAAGCTCCAAGCGACATATCACGCATACTGCCTGGAGCGGCAAGGCCTGAAAAGGCGGAAAGTATGCCCTTATGACCCTGTCATCGAAAGACAAACTGAGCAGCAGGAACAGAGCGAAAGAAGTAGAAATAGAGATCTCTGCTGGTATACACCGCACCAGATTTTCACTTGCGATTACCTCGATGTGTTGTGTACGTTGTGACATCCTTATCAGATTCCTGGTCTAGTTTAGAGCTGCATCCACTTTGGACGCAAACAGTCAAACAGCATATCGATAGACTTGCGCAGCATTTCCAGCACAGCGCAATTTCTAAGAAGAGCGCATGGGCCGCAAAGCAAGTCCAGCCGCACGAATCACCACGTTCTGAAATTCTTCCTCAGATCGCCGACATCAGTGATCCAGATATTCCCTCTCCTGAGGTTGGACGAGCTTTGAATTGGGATAATAGCGAGGAACTTCATCCCGATTATCCCTGGAGTCGCCTTGGCGAAACACGTATCGGAGCCTCAACACCGCGACGACACAGCGACCATAGAAGGAGTGACAGTTTTTCTGATGTCTTGCGTGCAAGCTCGTATGCGATGCCATCGCCTGACTGGCTAAACAGTCTTCCGGATGCTCTTCGGTAGGTCTGATTGCTGATTGTATAGTTCTCGTGATTCGTTCAATATCTCACAAAGGACTTCTCCGTCTTTGACAAGCCGAGGCTCACTTATTCCTGGTTTGCTTGACGAGAGCCTTGCTGAAGCGCAGTTTGACATCTCGTCTGAGTCTGCTGTGGCCGAGAGAGCCCCAAAGCAGAGCTCGCCTCAAAATAATTCGACGATCGAGCCAGAGACGCAAGATTTCCTAGTCTACCTACGACTCGTTTGTCATTCGTCGACATCTCGACAAGTCAATATGGATGAGTTGGTTCCGCGGACGGATCCTGCGCGAAATGCGGCGAATGCTTGTAAGTCAATCACTCATTCAGTGTGGCATCTGCTTGTTTTATCTTCATGCGGGATGTGCCGACTTCACCAGGAGGCATCTTATGAACCAATCCAAATTCGACTTCCATAGAGATAGGTGTATAGAGCAAAAAATGGCAAGGGCGGGGTTCGAACCCGCGAGTGGCGGATCTCTGCGAGTCAAGAACTCAGCTTCTTAAGGCCGCTGCATTAGACCACTTTGCTACCCTGCCTATTCGATCACCTTGCTGGTGGTCATGGGAGTCTAAGAAACCTCGACTCAGGTCCGTGCGCCTCTCCCAAACCTTATCATGCAATATGCTACCTATCGAACTCTTGCAAAATGTGTTTTATCAGGCTGCAATTTCTGATCCGAAGACCGCGCATAGGCTCGCTAAGGTATCTCATCAGGCATGCGAGTGTAGCAAAGTTGCGCGCTGGACGCATCTCACAATCACGTCTATGGACGGACTACGAGAGCTTATGAAGTTGCTGCATCATTTACGGAGTTCTTCAGCTATAACTCCCCTGTCCCTGCCAGGCATTGAGCCTAGCTTCTTCACGCGTTCTTTAAGCATACACACAGAGACAACATCTATGGACCTTATCACTTACCTGAGCGAGCTATCTGATTCAGACCGCAAGGAAATGATCCATGAGCACGACTTTCTCTCGCTATTTCCTAATCTTGATGCATTAAATCTTGGAAGTGCAGAGTTTCAAGCATTTTCTCCGAGCATACAACAGATTTCGCCAACCAGCTTACGATTGGTCTACAATGGTAACGAAACCTTACTTCGGTCAGTATTCACTCCTTATCCGAATGCCAATGCGGCTCGCGGGGCTTTTACGGTGCCATCCAGCTGGAAAGTAAAAGCGCCTGGTCTTAGGCGTCGACTAAGGTATCTACATATTATCGGAATTGATCCACAAAGCGAGCTGACTGGCTTACCATTTCCTATGGATGTGCTCGAGCCTCTTTGTGTGGGAAGCACAAGCATGGGCAGTTTCCTTCATGCATACCTTGTTCAGAACGCGAATATGGATATCGAAACGTCAACTGATGATTCTGATCCAGAGTGGACGCCGGGGGTGACGTATCTACGCTACGATACGCGAAAGTTCTCTTACCGCCCAACGGATATTCTGGCGTCGCGACTACGACCTTTCTTCCAGCAATTGAACATAGGCGACGAAGAAGATGATCTAATGACACAAATAGGTGCTTCAAGACTGTTGCAGCTTGATTTGCGATGGCTTAGTAGCGGTCCAACGCTCAATACTATGGAGGATGAGCAGCGAAAAAAGCTGAATTCTGCCATGTTCAGCGGCGGATGGCCCAGAGAGTTACGTGGGGCTTGGACTGACCGGTCAATGACGCATAATTCACCATATGAGTCGTTCAGATATGAACTTTCTGAATCTATTCAAAGCTTGTATGGATGGGACCCACCGTCGCTGGGAGCATCGCAAATCTTGACCACTGAAGGTGCTTATGTTGAACGCATCGAGAACGGCTTTTCGGCGAAAGACCGCCAGGTGATGGATAGTGCACAGTCGTATATTTCCGATGTGAAACTTGTTCGCTCTGGCCAATACGCAATGGAACCAGTCTCATTTCGAATGCGATATCCTGCCTCGTTTCTTCATCTTGGGGAGGCCCCCGTCGCCTTTTCTGACCGATAATCGACTGAGAAACTAGGAATCGATGACGGAACTGCCATCTTCTGCTGTAAATGTCTCGTAGATGCGGCGCGCAAGCTGAGGCCCGAGATTGCGCGTAGTGCGCCCACTGTGGCACTAAGTTAGTCTTTCACATACCTCTAATGGTGCCAACAGATCGATACTTTCCTCTAGTGTACAGCGTTCTAAAGTTGACAATAAACAAGAGAATGTCGGGTATCTTTGTGTGATGGCACGAATAGCAGGAGGCGCACATCTAGGTATCTGCTCGAGCATTGCCTGGTAGGTGCTGAACTCCGTGCTTGCTGTAATACTCCTTCCGGACCTCTTAGGTGCTTTGCGTCGGACTTCTAGTAATTTATAGGGTCGAACTGATACGTCGCAAGCGATAGAATGCAGCCACCGAATTGCATCATCTAGTTCAGGGACTTGCACGACATGACATCCATGAAGCATCTGTAATTGTAAAATAGCATGGTCCACCTTGCACCGAACGTCGTCCTTATTTGGCAATTTGAGCGGTCGAGCTTCAGCGCCGGCATGCTGCATTCGCTGCCGAACACTTTCGATATAGCCTCGGTTCTGTGCCGAGCGCTGCTGCTGTAGATATGCATCCAAGCCAATGATCACTAAAGTATGTCTCGCTGGCTTCTGAACGTGAGTATCAGCTTGTATCTCTGGTGGGATTGCCTCAGCGATTTGGTTCACAAGATCGTTCCTATGAATACTCTTAAGAAGTTCTTCGGGCAAAGTGACATGTACGCAAGTCGCCTCACGCTGGACTTGCTCCTCATCTAGGGGCTCCCACAGCTTCTGGACCGGATCGTATCTCGATCGCACACGCCGCTCGAACACGATCATCCCAAATTTCTTGGTAGAATGTGAAAGCGGAGAAAACTCAACGGAAGCTTCGTCACTGAGCAGCTTTTCACGCAATGGTTGAACCAGAAATTCTAAGCTCTCATGGTTAAACCCTGCATCTAAACGAACGATTAGGTCTCGCATAGTATCAGATCGCCTCTGGCGGACACGATTTGCATCGCGCCAACGCTGGCGCTCAGTTAATTCCCGAAGCCGCCGCTCTTGCTTCTCGGCTCGCTCTTCCGCAGTCAACTTGGTCCTTCGTGGTCGACTAGCCTGAACTGGAGTCGTAGGGGTATCATCTAAGAACAGAGGCGGGGGTGACATGAGCCCTTTCGCACCTTTCGTTTGTCCGCGAACGGCTAACGTCGGCGAATCGGGACGTAAATATGGGGATAGCAATTGCCGTGGACTAGGGATAGAAGATGATGTGTCGCTTGTCCCTTCATGCATCGTTGCGACATGGTTTGACTCTCCTCCACTCATGGCAGCTCATAAGAGCGTATTTGACCAGTATCTGTGCAATGACATTTACAATGCCCTTGATACAGGCAATTACACTCTTGCGGTGAGCAAAGCTGATCAGGTCCTGCGTCAGAAGAATATTCCACTCGCAGGTGCATTGCGATCATTCGCGCTACTACAGCTCGATCGCGAAGAAGAAGCACATAGTCAGATCGGAAGAATATTGACGTTGAATCTAGATACTACCGTACTTGCAACGCTTGCAATGGTGATGCCACGTCTTGGTATGAGCAAGCAGCTTGCCGAACTGTATATCCTCGCGAGCGATGCACATCCCAAAGACCAAAAACTTGCAAAAGAAGCGCTGACAGCTCTGGTCAAGGCCGGCATGTATCAACGTGCGCAACAATTGCTTTTGAAAGAGTTCAAGTCTAAGAAAGACTCAGAAAGCTACTGGAGATACTTACAGCTTGCTGTGCTTCATGTAAGTAAGATTCTGACCTAGTCACAAACTTTGAAATTGCCTGGATCCAAATTAGCTTTAACAGTGGCCCAACGTCTTGTAAAAGACTACCCTGTCCAAGCAGATCAGTTCACTGAGGAAACTCTCTTTTTGTACTTACGTTTCCATATTCTCCTAGGAGATGAGCACCTGAAGTTCGCTTTACAATTGCTCGACCAGCCTAAACCGATGGAGCTAATCAAAAACAGTGTGGGACTTCAGTTTTTGCAACGAGAAGCATGGGAAGCATGCAAGCAACACGAACGTATTCTCAATGATTGCAGGGTGCATATTGTGAATGGTGATCGGAATTGGGCCGTGATCGAGTATTTTGTTCAACTACTTGTGCAAGAAGCCCTGCAAAAGGATTCACGGGAGTTGAACACGGATGGCATCGCTACTCTTGTTGAAGCTGCTGAAAAAGATCAATGGAATGATCGAGGCTCATTTCTGGGTGTCTTGGAGCTCTGTCGACACGCTCGAGAAGCAAAATTGTCTGAGGCTTTCTTGAAAAGCTACAATCTCGATCTTCTGGAGCTTGTGGTGAAGTACTGCTCTCGATTTGATAGTCGTGCGACCTGCTTTGAAGATATCCGTCCCTATCTCATTGCCCTTAGCGAAAGTCAACGAAAGAATCTGCATGCTAAAGTACCCCAAAAGCAGGACTTGACCTCTGAAGAAGGCATCACGCGATGCGTTAATTGGCAAAAAATTGTTTGTCTCTTGGACCTCAATGCAGGTACTAGCAACCCATGTGGGCAGATGTTGAGTTGCTTTATTGAGTCTTTGCGTCATGCCCGCCTTCCTAATACCGAGATGCAATATGCTGATGATCTACTCCTCTTGGCTATGTATTCAGGTACAGATGCTAGTGATGAAGAGGGCCAGTTTTTTGCTGCTTTAGTCGCTTACTTTGGAGTTTCAGAAAGCAGTCGTGCATACTTTGCACGAATTCTCCTAATCCGGCTTTTGCTACAGCTAGGTGCAGTCAACTTTGCTTCGAAACAATTCAAGGCTTTGGGGTTGAAAGCAGTACAGTGGGATACAGCATCCTTTTTCGGACTTGACCGCAATACAGCTTTCGGTGGATCAATTTTCCAAGCAAACCTAGGCTACTATAATGATAACCTGAGAGCTTTCTATGCTCAGAGCCAATCTGAGCTTCCTGATGTGATCAGTCGTGCTTTCAACAACAACAAGTTTTCACAGATCAGTGGGCTTTGCGAATTCGAACGATGCGTAAATTACTCGGTCACTCGGGCGATAGTGGATCTGGACATCATTCGTGCCAAGATTGTCACACAACAATTAAGCGGAGCATCAATGCGGCAAGCCACCTCGACAGTCAAACGTATCGTTACTGCTGCCGAACAAGATGCTTTCCACGATCAGAGGGACTATTCTCTGATTCCATCTTTCAACGACAGAGGTGGCCAGGTGATTCAATCTTTGCTTCACAACCGACCCGTGCGCGGGGCATACTATATCAAAGCAATGTCAAACATCATTGGCTTGTATCTCGACCTAGATATCGTTGAGCAGTATGAAGGGTCAGAAGAGCTGACTCTCGCTGAGTCAAACCTGGTTCATCTTGCAGCTAAGCTGAGGCGTTCGAAAGATGATGCTACTAAAACCAACACGGCATTGTACGGCTTCTTACAAAGTAAGTGACGTTGCTCACTTGAGATATTCTTGAATTACTAGACACCAGCCATCCCTTTG